ATTAACTTGGAAGTTTTTCACTCCATTATGTGTTCTTTGTACAAGTTTGTTGAGTTTGGTATACTAGATAGTGTAATTATATTTGGAATATTATCACCTCCATAGGTTTCCATTTTATAGTTATTTATCAGTGTTCTAATACTTGTTTTATATTAACTGATAAAATTCTAGAAAATGTCATGAGAGGAATAAAAAAATTTCTGCCACATCACTTACATTATTTTCATAATGAGCATTGGTATTAAGAATGCTGAATTTAAAGATCTAAAATCTCTCTACTAATTAAGTTTGTTGGGAGTTGTCTGTTAAGTATGCTTATTGGGTAGAGTAAAACTATCTTTATCACAGTCAGGATGTATTATCACACAGAGCTACGTTTTCACTTTCTTAACTTTCTGATTTGAACTTTCATGATCTGTATCATAAAACACTCCACAGTTCATTTTTTATTCTAAGAGAGAGTTTTCTCATATCATCCAACCTAAACATTTAAATTTAAATTATAGATTGTCAGTATATAGAGATGCAGACATACACACACACGTATAGATAAGATAGATTAGATAAATAAATGTATGTGTATACAGATATGTGTATTTGCTGAACTTGTTGTACATGGCATTATACCATAACATATCTGATATAACTAACCAGATTAAGATTTAAATCAACAAATAAAAATAAATGTTTACCTTTTAACCATTATCATTTTTTCCAGAGATAAACTTTTTCTATATATGTTTTTGCATGTGGCAACCAAACATTTCTTACACTTAAGCATTGTTAATTGAAATACTGTTTAATACCACCTACATGTAGCTCTATTTTGAGATCATAAGAGCTATATACATTTTGATTAAAAATAAACAACTAAATATTGAATATGAACAAGTCTATTCTTATTTTCCATCATTAAACCAAGTTTGTTTTAGCTATTAGTTAGTTAATAATTGTATTTTTTTATTTCTTTATAAGTCTATTAGCCACTTCTCTTTTCCAAACTAGTACACTTTAAAGCCTAGTGTTTGACAATGTTATACTGATAGCTTTATTTAAAGTAAAATGTTTTGTTTTTGGCTATGAGTTGGTTAGTTAACTGGAAACACTATAATGTGAGGAGGATGTTAAGTTTTACCTTTTGTAGTCTTGATTTCCTGTCTCCAGATATAATCCACTCTTTTGTATTCATCTTTTCAGGATTCCACCAGGCTTTTCACACTTGAAAAACCTCACGGTGTTGGGTTTAAATGATGTTTCGATAACACAACTGCCCAGTGATTTTGGCAGGTAATTTCATGTGTTGTATTTTAATTTCATAATGAAATATTTATTATTGAATGCTAAAAGTATAATATTTTTATTTATCAACTGGTGCTGGAGTAAGTTTATTATTGGGTGGCATTTACGTGCACCTCTTGGTGCATTGAAATACTAGAAAGCATAAACACTTTAAGGCCTAGAATTCTTTGTACTGCTTTCACATGTCGTCTTGTACCAACTGAAGAATGTTTCTCAAACTAGAGATTTCTGCAATGTATGAACATCATAGGCATGGTCACCAAAGAAGAATTCTAGTTTTCAGATCACCTTGAACTTTTTTTTTTTTAAAACAATAGGTAATAGCTTTTGGTTCAAAAGGACAGTTCAGTAACAAGCTATAAATCAAATAAGTAGTTTAAATAAGTGATTTTGTTTCTCATATTATGCATGTGTAAAGCAAGACACATTGATTAACTAACTTGTAAAACTGTGTTGTAAGTATTTAACCAATTTTATGCTTTCATTCATTTGTTTATAGCTTCTTTATTTTTGTTTATGAAGATATTTGTTTGTATTTTGGTATTGTAAAATGGTTATATTTGTTGTATGCCAGTGATTGTTAACACAGTGAAACTGTCTGTGGTGTTTTTAAAATAGAAACAAAGATAAAATTTACAGTTTTGTAAAATAAAAACATTATCAGAGAAGTTGACAAAAATTTTGAAAGACATAAAAACCAGTAATTGAAATCTATAACAAAGGTAAGAATTTCATTTGTGTGAGGAAGAGGACATTTAATTAGCATTGGTAAATTTGTGTTGTATAATGATTTACTTTAAATCAAGATTGAGGAACATTATAGTAAAGAATTTGAGAAAACAAAATTGGTATTTTTCATTGTAGGACAGATATTAGATTTCATTACATAATAGTGTTAATGTAAAATGTTTTGGGATAGAAGTAAGCAACAATGGGAGAGCTATAGTTATTTAGTTTTCCATTATATATTGACTATAAAATTTTATATTTTGTAGTTTAACAAATCTTCAGTCCCTTGAAGTTCGAGACAACATTCTTAAAACCTTGCCACCCTCATTTACATTTTTGGTGAAACTAGAAAGGCTGGATTTAGGAGGGAATGAATTTGAAGAATTGGTAAGCTGATTATTATTGATGTATATCAGTGTTTTCTTTTTAAGTTGTTTTTTTCTCAATATCTATTGAAGTGAAATAATAAAATAACTAGTTTTGCATTATTATTTAAAAAAATATCAAATATAAATCATTTTTATTTGTTGCTCTCAGAGTTAGTAAATGTTAATTCTGATGGAATGTACTATGTAGTTCATCTGTATATTGTGACTTTCTATGAGGTTAACTTAAAAATTAATTTACCTCAAATTTTTACTACCATTATTAAAGTTATATTTAAAACTGGATTTTAATGCTTATTACACTTTTTTTTTCATTATGTTTTGCCTGCATATTAAACTGTAATTTAATTTATTTTAAAATTGATAACTTGGAACCAGACACTTGGATTGATGAGATATTAAACTTTTCTTCAGAAATTTTAAATGGTATGGTTTGTGAATCTTAAATAATGAGCATGTATTACAAATCTGTTTAGCCTCCACTCATTGGCCAGCTTACAAACTTACAGGAATTGTGGGTAGACTGTAATGAGCTCATCACTTTACCACCGGTAAGTTTGCTTATTGTAAATCTAAAATTAGCAAATTTTATTACTGTAGTGCATAAAAGAAATAAAAGAACAGATAAAGCATTTGTTTTTGTGGATTACTTTATTAAAAGTGTAGTGTGCTCAAATGGTTGTGAAGGTATAATTATCTGTTTTAGGATAGAGTTTACTAGAAGTAACCATATATTACTTTCATTTTCTAATAAAAATGTGTGTTTCTTTCATGGAAGGGTTATGAACCTCTAGAGAAGATTTTTTGTAATTGAATGTTTTCGTAACTTAAATAAGTAACTTAATTAAATATTGTTTCATCTTCCTTTGCTACAGGAAATAGATAATCTGAAGCAGCTGACATGTCTGGATGTCAGTGAGAACAGGTTAGAGGTACTACCAGAGGAAATTGAAGGTTTGGAGAACCTTACTGATCTACATCTTTCACAGAATTGTCTTGATTCTCTGCCAGTAGGAATTGGAGAGTTACGAAAACTTACCATTTTTAAGGTAAAGCAGTTAACAACTCTGTGTTTATACTGTTTTTTTTGTTTCATTATGTATGTATGTTTGTTTTTTTCGTTTTTTTTTTTTTTATTCAAGCAATCAATCTATCATCTTGCTTTTTTGTTAAAAGGTAAACTTTGCTAGAAATAAGTTTTGGAACTCATCAATTGATTCAATGATACTTATTTATTTTTAACCATAAAAAACACTTGTTAGGTCAGAATAACTATTTACCTGGAGTGTGTTTTTGCTTTATAATGTACATGTTTCTATCAAACACACTGAAATGTAGAAAATCGGCTCTTTATATGTTACAAGACTTGATGAGTTATATATAAAGATGAGTAGCTCATTTACTGTGTTTTATGTAAAATAAATATTTGCTCATCTCGTAAAGGTTGACCAAAATCGTCTTCCGGAGTTGACACCAGCTATAGGTAACTGTGTGAACCTTCAAGAATTAGTGCTGACTGAAAATCTGATCTCTGAATTACCTTCGTCCATTGGTAACTTAGTGAAACTGACCAACCTGAATGTGGATCGTAATAGGTTGATGGAGCTGCCACCAGAAATTGGAAACCTTACGAACCTGGGTGTTCTCTCTCTTCGTGATAATCGGCTTACTTATCTACCTGCAGAAACAGGAAATCTAAAAGAACTACATGTTCTGGATGTTTCTGGAAACAGGTTAGTGAAAGGAGTTAATCATTCAAAGATTTTTGCACAAATGTCTTTAAACAGTGACCTCAAATCATAAGGAAAAGTTTTTAAAAAGTGAGTGGGAAAAATATACAAAGCTAGAATATTCTTTTTTTATAGTGTGGTGTAAATAAAATCAGAATGAAAACAAGTGATTAGAATTTCATTTGTTTCTAGTTTTTTTAAAGTTATTATTGAGTTAGTATGAAAGCTTTCTGACTGATGGGACTTGTAATATATAAATGAAATATTTTCTTTGTATTCCTTCACGGTCACTTTGTGATGGTCAGTCCCACTTTTCTTTGGTAAAATAGCAGCCCAAAAGTCAGTGGTGGGTGGTGTTGACTAATTGCCTTCCCTCTAGGTTATTACTTCTGAATTAGGGACAGCTAGTGCAGATAACCCTCAATTATCTTTGTGCAAAATTCAACAAACAAACAAACCTTCTTTTTGCCACCATTATTATACTTTGAGTAGGTTTTAAATGAATAATTGATGTATTTAACAAATTTTTTTTTTCACTTCATAATATGCTTGTGATTAAATAAAACTATTGAATATGCATTATTTATTTATAATTTCCTTAATTCATAATTATGTGGGAAATACAGCACAGAAAATTCAGAGTATAGTAATGCATAGTATACTCTGAAATAAAATATAACTATATTTAATAATTGAATTTTATTATTGAGCTATGATGGTGATGAGGATAATATTTTAAGTGTTAGTATGTTTGTGACAATGTTACTCAGTAATTGAAAAGTTTATCAGTTTTGCAACCAAGAGCTGATAGTGAAGAGTTAGTAGATAATTAAAAAATTTATGAGTGAGATGCATAAACAATTTGAATTTAGAATTGTTGTCCATGTAAAATTAAATTGTTCTTTAACTTTAGGCTCCAATATCTTCCACTAAGCATCACAGCACTGAACCTTAAAGCCCTCTGGTTGTCTGAAAATCAGGTGAGAAATATAGTTTCTTATTTATAATTTGATAAAGAACTTCAGTTAAATTTGCATTTGAGCAAATTAATGTCTCGGTAAATAATTGAATTTTTTCTCTACTTGGTCAGGTGTATTGTTTATTTAAAAAAAACATTCATAGCTATAACTAATATCAAATTAGACTGCTTAAAATTAGCAATAACAATAACAAAAAATATTTCAAATATAAGATTTTGTTGTGGATCTTTGCTCTTTTGTTTTCTCTTCAAGTTTAAACAGTTCTGTTCAGTTTGTTGGTGTTAATAGTATATCTGTATGTAGGTTTGCATCTGGTTAATGATATTAAGAAAAACCCACCATGCCAATTGCTTATTCTTCCAAATATTGCTTTATTAAGGCAAAGATGTGAAGGTTATACTTAACAACTAAAATTATATATAATCAAAATCACTAAATAAGTAATAAACAAAATCAGCTACAATATAATAATGTCTGAAAATACATGATTGAACAGCTGTAAGTGTGGTCTGTGTTTTGACTTAAAAACCTTCAACAACACTAAGGAAAAAAAAGAATATTAATCATTATAAGCTGGTAGAAGACCAGAAGAATTTCAAGAATATTTCAGTGAGATTAAATACCGGTGACAAGAGTCATTTGAAATACTTCCTATTAGAGTTGAAGTAACAGGAAGTGGGTACAGACAGAGTAAAAACATGGATTATAGCATTGAGAAAGAAAGAAAAGATAAAAGAGGCATCTTACACAGAGTTATAAATGAAGAAGAGTATGTTTGTCAAATATTTGGAATTATAGGATTTTTTTGTTAAGACCAAACTTCCTAAAAGGTATATTATGTAATAGCTGTCCATCCATATATTACTGTGTGGCAGGATTAGCTTTAGTTTTAATCCCATACAAATTGTTTTTAAAATGTTAGTTCATCAGCCAGTTTGATCAACATGAGTAGCAAGGTACCAACTGGAAGAATCAAACTATAAAAGACAAATAGTAGAACAAGTGGTATGATATCTAATAATATAGGTACTCGAAATTACACATTTGGCTAATGCATTGACCAAATGGTTTTCTTTCATAACTGTTTTATACTTCTGTGTTAAAAAAAGTAATTCTTTGTTAAACTTACCAGAGCCTTCAGGTACCAATTTTAGTATTAGATATGGATCTTAATTGGGCTGATATATTAAGAGTGACAATTACAAAAAAAAAACGTTTTTTGGCACAATGATAAGTGAAATGTAGTTTTTTGTAATTGTTACTCTTAAGATGTGGGTCTGTTTGAGCCCTGCCACTCCCATACTACAAACAGGTTATTACTATATATATGACTATAATTTGGTTGGAAATTCTTAATTTCTTAAGCTTGACAAATGTCACAACATCATGACAAAAAAAACAATGTTACATTACACCTACTTCAGTCTAGTGCTATGTGTTTTTGGTTTTGATATCATTTGTTTTTAATCTTTTATGTATAAATGAGATTAATTTGTGTGTTAATAAATAAAGTAGTTACTCAATCTTTGAGATAATTTTGAAGAAATTCAAACATATGATAATTTACACAAATTAAAATTAAATTATCTTCTTAATTTTAACAGTCGCAACCAATGCTCAAGTTTCAGACAGATGAGGACGAAAGAACTGGAGACAAAGTGTTAACTTGTTTTCTGCTACCTCAACAGGAGTATCATACAGACAGCCTTGGTAAACTTTGAATATTGAATGTTTTTTTTAAATCCTATTCTGTTTCTCATTACTTGGATCTGTTTAGTCATTTTTTATTTTTTCTAAATTTATGTATCTCTTAAATACAGTGTTTGAGAGTATGATACCTGAAAGTAATTTCAAGATAATGATTTGTTATAACTATAGAAAACTTGCTCCAAAATAGTACAGATCAAGACAGTAGGCTAAGTTGGGACCAGCGAGGAGGTGAGAGGATGTCAGCAGTCAAGTTTGCAGAAGGAAGTGAAGATGATAAAGAAGAAAAGGAGGTTAGTTTTATTTATTTTCCAGCAACAATAGTAAGATACTTATATCCTGTACATCCTTTAAGGTTAGTTTTGTTAACTATATTTGTTATTTTATTGTAATTATTTTAATTCTTGTTATTGTTTTTTATTTGTATAAAGATTATTTCACATTGTTAGCTTATTTTATGGATTTAGGACTACTAACTGAATGTGGATCGTAATAGATATTTGATACAAACCTAAATCTATTAAGTTAGCTGAGGCAAGTATAAATCTTACCATGGTGTGATAGTTCCTAATTGGACATCAGCCTAAACATGTGAAACTTTACCATAAGGCAGATACAAAGTGTTAGTTAGAATACTTCATATATCTACTTTTATTATTTCTAATTTAACTTTATGTTTATTATTTTATTATAATTATTATTATTCTGTATTATTAGCTTAGTATATGGATTTTAGGACTAATCTAAGCCTCCTGGCCTGGTTGAACCTTGTGAAATATTATTGGATTTACTGTTGAAAACATTGTAAACAGTAAATGTTCCCAACTGATAAAACATTACACTCTAATCATTATAACTAATATAGTTTGTCCATTATATTTAGTTAGATGTGCTCATTACTAGGTTTATAATTTAGTTCGGATCTATGTAGATAGCTAGCTTTGATCACAAATTAATACCAACTATATTTGGTTTAATTCACAAAAGTTAAAATAGCGAAGATAGTGTGTAATCTATAGGAATAAATAATTTACCATAGCTGTATATTTTTTTATATGTTTAGTACTTTTATTCACCATTGAATAATACTTGGCAGATGAATTAAAACATAGAGTATCGGAAAATTTGTATTATTGTTTTAACCGTGAAGTCCATACTTTATTTAGCCTATTGTTTTCTAATGTGATATTTATTAGGTAAATGAAAATAAAAAATCTTCAAATTTAGCATGAACCAGTACAGTATAATAGGACTGTGTTTATGATGTTACAAGGAAAATGTCCTTAACATTGAACTTGGTTTTCAAGTCTAGTTGCTGTTATTTTAATTGTAATTTAAGGTCATTTTACAGTAAGAAATAAAAGTTAAATAAAGAAAATGTTACTGCAATAAATAGTAGGTAATCTTTACAAAACTAATTCAGTTATTCCTAGAAAATTATACCAAGACAAATTATTGTTTGTTTTTTTTCAGACACAGTTTGTGAGACATGATACCCCTCACCCTCGTGAGCTGAAAGCAAGACATCCCAAACTGTTTGTCCATAAAGGTAAAAACATCGATGGCCATGTAGCTTCTCATGAAGAGGTGAGTACATAATAGGAAGTTTAACATAAACATATTCTTGTTTAAGAAACGCATGGTCTTAGAGTACTTATGGTTACATTATGAAATTTTGAAATAAAATTATTTATAATCTTTAAGGTGTAATATTAAACAATTCATTATGAGTACAATAAAAAATTCTACAAAACACTTATGAAAATATCAAAGTATCAAAATTATTATCATGGACTTTTGAGATTAATACCATTTATGGATCATATTTCTGGTACTTGATTTAATCTGCTTTTGTTGTATAGAAAGAAGATGCTGTTGATAGTTTTCGTCCACAACGAGCCAGTACTGGTTCTGCAGCATCAGAATCTTCAGAAGCTTCTATACAACAACCCAAAGGTAGGTATTAACATGTAAAAATATTAAAAAATTTAGTTTTCTCCACTTTTAAAAAGTATTTGGTTGTTGAAAGTCATATTTCTTTGGTTCTTGTTACATTTTAGTCTTTATTAGTACCAAATTAAAATTAGATTGACCTGCTTAAAAACATTATTAAATTTGAACACATGGAATTTGGTTAAATTGATATTTGGTGACATTGTTTCAAACATAAAGCAGAAAATAATGGTTTAAAAGTGTGGAATTTAAAATCATTTTGATTCTACTACCAAAAATGTTTTTCATTATTGGTCAGCTTCAGGAAGCTCTCAACAAACAGCCACCCAATGGCACAGCAGTATGTCTGTAGACTTACAATGCTAGAAACCAGGTTTTAATACCCGTGATGGGCAGAGCACAGATAGCCCATTGAGTAGCTTTGTGCTTAATTACAAACAAACTCAACAAAGAGAAATTGTTTGGCATTTTATTTAAAATGAAACATGTTAAATATTCTGTAGTTTAAATAGTAATTGGAATATGTAGCACTCTGTGTCATTTTTTTAGACCTAAAAGACTTTGGTACATATTTATATTTTCTTCTACATGTAATTCACAGAGAAGCATGAAAGAAAATTGAGACTTTCATTTCTGCTTGCCCCCCAGTGACACAGTGGTATGTCTGCGGATTGACAACGCAAAAAACTAGGTTTCGATACCTGTGGTGGGTAGAGCACAGATAGCCCATTGTGTAGCTTTGTGATTAACTTCAAAACAAAACAAACATTTCTGCTTAGCTCCATTGAGACTTCTCTGTAAACAGTGCACTTAGATTTTTCAAAAAAAATGTTTATGACCATCTCAAAGTATGGTTTTATATTTCATAAAAAGCCTTTGATAATAAAATTATTTGTGATTTGTTTTTTGCACCCTTTTCTTTCTCACGGTTTATTAGTACAACCTTTTCTTCACAACTTTTTATGATCTTGCAGTATGTGATCTGAAAAACTACTAATGAAGCTCAGCTTTGAAATTAACTACAGGCAAAGTTTAAATACTGCTGAATAGAGCAGATTATAAACTATTTTTTTCCATGTAGAGTAAATAAATTAAATTCAATGGCAATTTATGGTTTCATTTGAAAGTGATTAGATTTAGCTCTTGCAGAGAACAATGAAATTTAGTGGTGGCTTTAGAATACTTAGGAACAAACCACAAGTATGGAAATCTTTTTGGATAATTTCACTAGACATTCCTTTCCTTTCTGAAAGTGAATTTTAGATTATAATTACTTGGAAGCTAAGGAAGGTATCTTTGTGACAAGATATTAGGTAAGCCTTGTTAGATTTAGAGAGTATGGTAGGCAATGGCCAAATGTTGAAGTGATTCAAATCCTCATTTATTGAATGTTAAATTTATCATACTCAAAAATGCACATAGATAAAATAATTCATTGTTTATTGAAGAAAAACTATATTTATTAGTTATAAATTGATCTCGGCCAACAGGGTTTGCAAAATGTTTGCCTGACACTGTTTTAAAAGGTCAGGTCGTAGGTTACTGATAAGTATTTGTTAGTTTTAGTAATGTTTTTTACTATTTTTAGTCAGAAATGGGAATTACAGCAATTGGCAAAATAAAGTTTCAAAAGAAATATGTTAATAAATATCAGTCAAGATGTTTTTTTCTAAAACAGTATCTCAATAAAATTTTGGAAATTTCGTGACAAAAATTAATAGAAATATTAAATCAAATTATATAAATTTTGAAGCCAAAACTTGACACTACTGAGTATTTATGTTCTTAGTTTCATGCAATTTGGTTAAATATTTTCACTCTGAGAAGGAAAAATATCAATAACACCTACTCATTCTGGAAAGAGTTAAGATAAGACAACAAAAAATTGTTCAAGTTAAAATTAAAGTCAGGCTGGATTGGGGAAAATCTAATTATATATGGTATAAGCATGCAAGAAGGCTAGGAATTACACTATAAGATTCATACAAGCATTAGTTTAAGTGTTTTAAAGTTAAGGAGTGGTGCAAGTAATGATTGCTTTCAGTTCTAGAAAAAAACAGCAAAATTTATTTATGAAGAGTTCTATATGTTATGCTGAAATATAAAATAATTAAAAAGAGAGAGAGATTTAGTAGTTTTAACTTGTTGATTCACATCGTGCATTTTAACTTGCAGCATTACAAATCTGTTTAATTGACTTAATTGCATGTATGTTTTGAGTACTGTGTACATCACACTTTGATTTTACTCAAATGATGTTTCCTATTTATGTGACTGACTCAGATAAAATTAAAATTTTTGTTTTGTGAAATTTTTTTTTTTTTTCACGTTCAGTGTGCGTGCTACTATCCTGTGCTTACACTGTATCATCATGAGACTCGATATCTTGGTTAAATATGTTTATGGTTTCAATGCTTGATGTTTTATTTTTAAAATTAAAACACTTAACATCTGTAGAGCATATTTGCAAATATTGAACATCTCAGTTACTAGTAATTTAATTTTAAAACATTTTGATTGTTAGTTTCACATTGAAATTTGCTGACAAAAACAATTCTTCCAAATTCATTTTTCAAAAATTTCTTGTGGATAATTTATTGAATGTTAACTTATATTTAAAATTTAATTGGAATGTAACGTTGAAATCTCCAGTTTGCTTACAGATACACAAGTACCACATATCTTTGTGCAAGAATTTTGAATAATTTCTTTTTATTCTTTAGTAAACACAGAAGTGACTAAGGAAGATATTGTTCAGGATGGACCTCCCATTTCATCTAGCCGAGTTGCTTGGCTACCACAGCCTCGGGAAAACAGGGCTCATTCTGAATCATCGGTAGAGCAGGACACCCATTCATTAATGATTAATTACTTGAAAACTTTAGTATATCTGTTTTTTTAGTTATAGCATCAAACAAGTTTGTTAAAATATAACACTTTTAAGAGTTAAAAGAAAAATGAGAAATTTTACTCTCATATTGCTATTAAGTATTCATAAAAAATAATTTTTATCTACCAATAATTGGTTTTCTTCATCTGATGCACTAGATGAGTCAACTTCTTCGTCTTGACCTCGTGCTTCCACTTCTTCCTTGTTTTGTGAAAATAGAACACCATGATGCTCTCTAATTTAGCTGGAAGGAGAACGACGTGTTGGGTTTACTTCAGACACAGAAGACCAGCCTGAACGTCACAATAAACTTCATCGTAGAGATACACCTCATCATCTAAAGAAGAAGCGAATAAATAGAGCTAATGAGAAAGAAGATCAGGAGAAAGTAAGAAGGCTGTTTTTATGGTTTATTATTTAGTTAGATTAGATGAAATGTGACGCTGAGATATTTAATCGACATTTTTGTCCTGTTGAGTAAAATTCATTGAATAAATTATCTTAAGAATAACCCTGAAGTAGTCACTTTATTACTTATTTTCTACCAAGTTTCTTTGTGGTATTGTTAACTATAATTTGAAGTGGCTTGGTTAATTTTAAGAAAGAGGAAATGGAACTATATTCTTTTTTAAAGGTTTATAATAAAAGCTTAGAAATGTTAGATAATAAGAAAACCTCTACATTTCATTTACTTTATATCCACTAGCATTAAGTTCTTATAGAATTCTTTTCAATTATTTTAACATTATTCAAACTCAAAAAGTTACTTCAAGTTCAAATGATAAGTAGGTCACATAAGAAATGGTTTAAGTTTTCACATTGAAATATACTCCAAAAAATGTATTCTTGCAAAAAGAAAGATCTATTCATCAATTGAAAATCTATATTTTTGCAAGTGTTCAATTATTTTTTGTTGAGAATATACCTATAGTAATTAATCTCTTCAAAATATCTGTAATTAATACCTTCAAATGATGCAAATGCATGTTTATTTTTTTGGAGCAGAGAGAAAAAGTAATATTTTTATGTCATCAGGTAGCCTCTATTCTTGCTAGAGCCTTAAGTAAAGATGAACAAAAAGACCTGGAAAGTATTCCTACAGTACACCAGCCATCTGATGTTAGGTGGAATAGTGGAGTTACAGGCAAGAACTTTTTTGTTGGTTTACATTGGATTAGAAACGATAATTATCTGGTATAAGGTACTTGAATTTATGGAAATGGTTGAAAACAAGTACTTTATCTAATGAAATTAAGTTTTATTTCTATTTTTACCATATTGTAGGCCATTTAATTCATTTGAAATAGTAGTTGCTTAAAGACTGTGTAGAATAAATGCTTGTGATTAGCATTTTAACTTAAATATTTATTTTCAAGGTTTTTTTTTATGTAAATTTGCTATGTTCTATGCGTTTTACATGAATAAGACAAAGGTTCACAGAAACTTCAGGTTATAGAACAGATGAGCTCATTATGAAATGTATATAAATATTTAGGATGTTTAATAACAAATTAATTTATGTAAGAATTTCATGGATCTTGGAGCTGTTTTAGACGTAAATATTTTAAGACATCTATAATGAAGATTTTCAGTAATTTTGATTTGTTTAGAGAAAGATTTAACTATTTCTTTGAAACATTACTTTTGAATGTCATTAAAAGAAATTTGTTTTGGTAAGTTATTCAACATAACTCAATTTCTATTAACCCTTTTCCAAAATTTTCAGTAATTTTGATTTGTTTAGAGAAAGGTTTAACTATTTCTTTGAAACATTACTTTTGAATGTCATTAAAAGAAATTTGTTTTGGTAAGTTATTCAACATAACTCAATTTCTATTAACCCTTTTCCAATGGGTGGGTCTAACTGCACATGTCACAGTCTTTTAGCAATTTATTTTCAAACTTTATCATTACTATCTATATACTAAAACTCTGAGATTGTTTGTGTGGATGTGCTTGTCTGTAATTAAATACAGCAAAAACGGCACACAGTAGTGCCATATTTGTAATGAAATGAGAATAGAAACAGAATAAAACAAGTTTGTTAAAATTGGGCCACGGGTTACCGAGTTAGCGTCATTTTTTGGATCACTTTTCGTACATTCCATTACTATAAAACTTTG